GACGTCATTGATTTTTTATTTTTTATTTTATTATTTTAATATATTTTATTTTATTTTATTATTATGTTTTATTTTATTTTAATATTATGTTTTATTTTATTTTATTATTATATGTTTTATTTTATTTAATTATTATTATGTTTATATTATTATATGTTTTATTTTATTTTATTATTATGTTTTATATTATTATATATTTTATTTTATTTTCATTCAATAAATGACTATTTTCGATAATATTATTTGTCATACCAATTGTCATTAACCATATACAGCCGGTATAATTGACCCTAAATTTTGTGTAGCCAAATCGGCAGTAATTTAACCAAATTGATTACTTAATTGCATTTTTTTTTTTTGCCGACACACTAATAGTATTTAATAAATTTAGTTCTAGTAATTGAATTTATAAAATTCTAATTAAATTTGAATTATTTTAAATTGTTATAAAGATGAGAAGACGATATAGTCACAACAAGCTAATAGAGCCAATTCGAATTCGAAATCGGTTTTCTTACAGCAAACCTAATGAGACAACAGATTCTGACGAGAGAGTGGCAATTCGTTCGCCTGTACGTTCACCTGATAATGATAACGATGACATGGACTTTCAGTATGATCATAAAGATGATTTAAGTTTTCATGACATTAATGATGACGATAATGCATATGGATCAATTAATCCTCAAGACTACAATGATGAGATGATATTTTCGCAAGATAATGTCAATTCATCTGATACTGAAGAGGAAGAAGAAAGTGATAACGAATACAATTATGAAGAGGAGGAAGAGGAGGAAGATAATAATGAAAACAATGACGAAGAGGAGGAGGATGAAGGTAATAATGATGATAATAATAATCAAGTGGAAGAGGAACGTAATAACGATGAAGAGGAACGTAATTACGATGAAGAGGAACGTAATAACGATGAAGAGGAACGTAATAACGATGAAGAGGAACGTAATAACGAAGAGGAAGAAATACATCAAATCGTTGAAGCGTTAGATGAAGACAAGATACCGTTCTGCAATGGTCAATTTGCACCGTACTTTGATAATTATACAACTACGGCATTATTTTGCTGGCTTCAGAAACATAATGTTTCTACGAAAGCATATGAAGATCTTGTCGATATCATTCACAATTCTCAATTTGAACCTACCCATGTGGTAAAAAATATCCGAAGATTCCAATCATGGAGAAAACGTCTTCCTCTCCTACCAATAATAACAAAGTCTATTAAAATTTCACCAAAAAAAACTCCATCAACCTCACGAGGATCAAAACCTTCGTATCAACTCTCAATTAGTGAAATTATATGGCGTGTTCTTAATAATCCGATGCTAATGAAGCATATGTATTTTGGACCCGGCATTAATTCTGAAGAAAAATCAGAATTTTGGCATGGAAATTTATGGGGGAAATCCCCACTTTTTGGACAACACGAAATATTAATATCAGAAGGTTATAAATTAATACACTTTGATACAATTATAATTTATTATCATTGATAATATTTATTAAAGTTATTTATTTTTAATAAATAGTATTGTACCGATCTGGTGATTTTGTTTACTATCATGATGATAATGGTCTAAAAAAACTTGGAAGATTAAGATCAATTTTAAAAAATCATGATGGATATTATCAGTTACGAATTCAAAAAATTTTGGAATATAGTGATTTACCCGGAAATTTAAAAGGGTTACCAAGACAACGTCGTTCTATTACCGGTGAAGTATGGTTACAAGACGAACCATTTTTAATTATAATGACTTCTCAAATTTTAGAAAAAGTAACTATATTGATGATGTTTCAACATCAAAATATTCCTGATGGTTCATTGCGGATTAGTGAAATAATTTATAAATGTAATGACCGTTGGCACGTTCGTAATGTAAAGCTTTCATACCTACATCCATCTGATTACATTTCTATTAGAAATCCACCATCATCATCTATGCCAATCTATAAGCTGTTTTTAGATCTTTATTATGATGATTTTGGTACATTTAGAAATGTATACCATTCTCTAGGTGGTGTTTATGTACAGTTTGGAAATATGCCAGCACATCAAAGAAAGCTAATAAAGAACCATTTTGTTATTGGGTTTATCCCATTTGGAGGAAAATTTGACGAATTTATGATACCATTCATTTCAGAAATGAAGGAATTAGAGAAAGGAAAGGTGATGACTGTCCAAGGACAAGATGCATGGATAATTGCTGGTTTAGGCGTTGTTACGGCAGATTTACCTCAAGGTAACGATATGACAGGAGTACTAAGGTATTTTTTCAACTTAGTTAATAATATAATAATATAATTTTATGACAACTATTAAAATTTTTTAAAAAATAAATTTAGACATAATGCAAATAAGGGTTGTCGTACTTGTAAAACTACTAAAGAATCATTGAGTGCTCACAATCAGGATATCGTAATAACATTACGTTATCATCATATTACAGACGAAGAAATCTTAAAAATTTCTCATGAGACTATAATGTCAAGAAGAGATCAACTTTGTACGGAATATGGTTTACGATCATTACCTAGTATTTTAGATAAATTAAAAAGGGAAAGACATTTACAGACGCCGCAGGATGTTTATCATGCGACTGCAGGAAAGATTGGGCGGCTACTAAAATTAACTTGTGAATTATTTTCACGAGAAGGAGAAGATAATTTTATCGAAATTTGGAAAAATTTTGAAATCCCAAAAAGATGGTCTCGCTTACCAAATCCGATTACTCACTACAATAGTTTTATGATGTCGGATTTACTTAGATTAGCTATGATTATGCCATTTTTGTTAAACCAGTTTTTAAAAGAATCAAGTATCAAACGTAATGAAACAGCCATGATTCAACAAAGAATTGATGCATTTCGAGTTAGTTCAGTTCCAAAAATTATTATATCTTGTTGGATACATGTTGCAAAAACTATGAAAGCGGTTTTTAACAAGAAATTTACATCAGATAGCTATGAGGAATTGCAACAATGTCTTGAAGAAGAGTTTTCAATCCTTCCAAAGGTATAGTTACAAATTTGATATTGAAATGTGGAATAATTTCAAATAATTAACAATATTTTACTTTTTATAGGTTTTTGTAAATTTTGTTAATTTACCAAACATACACGTTAATATGCATCTTTTGATGCATGCTAAAACCTTTGGAACACTTATTAATACCCAAGTTGGTATAAAAGAAATGGTCCATCGTATTTTTAAGGGGATGGTACCAAAAACTAATTGCAAAAACATAGATTTAGATTTATTAAAGCGTTACAATACTTTATTTGCAATTCGACATTTAGCAGATGGTGGTATTGATCCAAGATTTAATAGATCTTGTACTGGATTTACAAATTCAAATTTTGGACAATTATTTTTAAATTGGTATGTTACAGAAGATAAATATTCAACTGAAGCAACTGAACAAGTTCAAGACGATGATGATGATACAAAAAGTAAGTATTTTATTGCATATAATAGTACATGTTTGATATTTATATTTACTAATCTTTTAATTTAGTTATATCTCCAGTAAACTTTATTTCCAATATTTCATTAAAAAAAAGAATGCCAAAGCAGGAACGTGATAAACTTCTTTTAACTTTACATAATTTTAAAACTGAATTGTTTTTATCTTATGTGGATATGAAGTTTGAGGCGGCACTTATAAACTCTTCAATTAGTTGGTACAAATTTGCATCATATATGATTGAAGAAGAAAATGGTATCCTTTCAAAAGTTCACCTACATCTCGATGATTTTATCACAATTTATGAAGAAGATCATGAAGAATCTTATGCAATAATCAAAGGTATCTTTCAACATAAGGGTAACAATAACAAATATTATGCATTTATTGTTGTAGATTGGTTTGAAGATACTATGGTTGAACATTCAGTATTAAAATGTCCACTTTACCGTCTCCAAGCAACGGGAGATAAATGGAGACGTATTTTTCCAATTACTGTAATAGATAATGTTCAAAAAGTACATTTTATTCATAATTGTAATTCAGAAAGGTGCCAACTACCAAATCATGATACTACAAATAGAATTTGGATAAAAAATAATTTTTATTTTACAGCCATATAATTATATTAATTATATAAATATAATAAAATAATTATTTTAATTTGTATCGTATAAAATTTTAACCAATAAAATCATATGCATGATGTAATAATAAATTAAAATTAACCAATTAAAATCACTTTAATTACATGCATGTGATATCATGCATGTGATATCTAAAAATAGCTAAAATTCGCATTTATTAATGAGATTTTTTTTGTTTATTTTTAAAAATACGCTTTTCTCTTGTCTTTTATATTAATACTTTACGGTATTTTAGTTCGTCTCTTCTTTTTTCTTTTTAAAGTATACTTTAATTATCTTTTTATAATATTAACAATACTTTGGGACACTTTAGTTTATATATTCAACATAGTAAGACAGCCACATACGAAAAGCAAGAATAAAAGCAAGAATAAAGAAAAGAAAATGTACCCTCCACTCACATACTAAAGAAAAGAATAAAAGAAAGGAAAAATGTACCCACCTACCCACATACAAAAGAGAAAAAAGCCGTTTTTTAAATAAATAGTGGAGCTGTTAAGCAAGGTATGAAAATAGGATATACTCTTATTTTTCATATTTTTTTTACAATATGTTGTGGTTTGAGTATTTTTTTGTTAGACTGTGGTATAAATGTGAATATATTTTTCAACGGTCATGTATCTATTGCTTGTTAAATGTATTTGCAATTTCTTTGTTAGACTGTGGTATTACAATATGAAGTGTGAATATATTTTTCAACGGCCATGTATCTATTGCTTGTTAAATATATTTGCAATTTCTTTTGTAATATTTGCTTTATCCTGGAAGAAAATTTTGTAAAATAGGGCTGGATATTTATGGCATTTTCCGCCTTCCAATTACTTTGTCCGGGGGTAGCCTGACAATTTGTCGTTGTCCGTCAGTCGTAGCAACCAGCATTTTTTTACAATATTATGATTTTAAGAAACAAAACACTTTCAAAAAAATTTAAATAAAGAACTAACTTAAAAATATTATCATTTTTATTATTCTTTACAAAATCCCGGAATTACCTGCTCTAACTATTATCCCAAGGTTATGTATTAAATTTTAAATATATTTTACAAAGAGTACATT